GACGCATCCATGTCCCCAGGAGCATCTGAAGATCTGCCCTCCCCGGCCCAGTCTGGCTCTGGACACTTTCCATGCCTGGGATCTCTCAACATCCCTTCTCTGCAGCCTGTCCAAGGGCACGCATCTTCTGGGTCCCAGGACTGTGGCCATGGCAAAAGGTGAGGAGGGTGAAAGCGGAGACAGAAATAAACAGAGACGCTCTCCGAAAATGAGCAAGTCCAAAGTGGGCTCTTGATGCCCCATGAGACCCCTGCACCCTAACAGAGCTCTCCCAGCCCTGCCCCCCAGGGCTGCCTCTTTAATTAATTATCCATAACCAATTAACTCTGACCCATCAAGGACAAGGATCTGTGTCTCCTTGCACAGTGTCTCCAGCACTGGGCACCAATAGGGCACAGGAAGTATTTGTTGCATGGGTGAAAGGATGGCATCATTTCCCGCTCCTCTGCCCAGTCATCTGGGAGTCCCCGTAAGGGATAAAGTGCTGCAAAGGGCTATGTCTGGACCTCACTGATACTCTGGGGACTCGGAGTCTAAGTGATCCCACCTTTGTGATCATCTTCTGGGGACCAAGAAGGAACCTACAGCCCTACTCATTCTCTTCTCAATCATAGTGTGCCCCCCAGATACAACCCTTCTAACAAGCCCCATGTACTTAGCTTCCCAAAGCTTCCATCTTCTGGTTTACAAGATCTCACCCCTGGAGGCCACTGGAGCATGCTCCATCCACCCTCCAAGGTCCTCCTGTTCCTAAGCCAAATCTGTTACCACATCTGTGTCCTTCCTCGCAGCACACACCTCTCTGCCCTCCAGTTGTCCAGCTCAGCCTTGGCTATGATGTCCTCCCTTCCCTGTTGCCCTTTGTTCCCTCTCAGCCTACGGGGGCTGGCTCTTTCAGGTAGCTTTCCAGCTGCTCAGTCTAGGAACCCTGGTTCCCAACAGCAGTGAGTATCGCTCTGGAGAATACCACCCGTTCACCTTGTCCTCACCTTGACTGTCAAGACCTGAGGGAAGCAACTATTCTGGATGCCTCCCCTGAGATCCCCCTTGCCCAGGAGTCAAACAATGGGCTGATCAGTGACTAGTGCTTATCCATGAGCCACTGGCACAAACACTGAGGGATGCCCATGCTGGCTCAGGACACCCAATGCTGGAAAGCTGCAAAGGTGTCTGGAGGCCTTCACCTAAATTCTGGAAACTAGGAGACTAACTGTGGCATCCCTATGTTTAAGTTCAAGAAAACAAGAATTCTAATAAGGAGGACATGAGGCACCATTGACTGAATTGTGCACTTCAAAACTCTGACAGGGAAGCCCCCACCCCCAGTGTGTATTTGGACAGGGGGCACTGAGGAAGTCATTGAGGTTAAATGAAGTCAGAAGGGTGGGGCCCTAATTCAGAAGAATTAGTATATTTATAACAAGAGACACCGGATCTCTCTTCCTCTGCCGTGTGAAGACACATGGAGAAGGCAAGCCAGGAAGCATCCCTGGCAGAAATGAATCGATTCAGACTTCCCAGTCCACTAACCCATGGGGAAATGGAGGTCTTTGTTTAAGGTACCCAGTTGGTAGTGTTTTACAGCAGCAGGAGCTCACTAATCCCTGGGTCACTCAGCCTCTCCTGAGATCCATGATCTGCCCACAGTTTGTAGCATGTGTGCATGTAGTTTTTCTCAGGTAGGACCTGAGGTGGACTAGTCACAACAATAGTGACAACAATGACAGGAACCCTTTCCTGAATGCTTGTGACAGACCAGGCACTGCAGAGGGCTTCCCTGCACTGGTACTTTACTTTACTTTACTTCTCACACTCTTTACTTTACTTCTCACACTCACCAGGGATTGATGGGAACTTTGTGATCCTGCCTTTTAGATGAAGAGGTGGAGGTCCAGACAGGCTGAGTGACTTGTACAAGGTCACACAGTGGTGGCCAAGCTGGGACCTTAGCCCAGGTCTGTCTAGTCCTACAGCTCTGGCTGAAGCCCTTGTGGTCCTGCTGTTGGGAAGGAGGAAAACAACCCTCATGGGCTCTTGCAGACACATGGAGATGTTCCAGGAAGTGCAGGGTGCCCCCCACCCCCACGACCCAAGCAGGAGCTCCAGGCACTGTACAGTGGTGATGTGGGAACAGTACTTACTGGCAATCCTGAAACACAGGTAGACCAAGTAGCCTCTCTACCTGGTCCTTTGCACTCTAGGACTCTCCTGGGACCCTCATTCAGCTCCTCCAGTTCTTCCCCATCTGCTTCGAAGCTTAGAAAATGCTGAAGACACTGACACTGTCTTTCAGCATAAGGTCTCCATCCTGATGGGGCCTTGTCCCTAACTTCCAACGACACCCATCACCCACCATCTCCCACTTTCACTCCATGTCTCCCTACAAGTCACTCGACATATCACAGCTAGAGTCATCCCTTAAAAAGACAAAGCAAATCACATCACACCCCTATGCAAACATTCTACTGGCCTCCCGTTAAACTTGCAATAAATCCCAACTCCTGACCTTGAGTTACAAAGCTCTGTGAGACCAGCCAAGCCCATCTCTTATTCCCTCTGTTCCAGATTCCTTCATCAGATTTTTTTTTCCTGTTATACTGGGATTTGAACTCTGGGCCTAATGCTTGCTAGGCAGGGGCTCCACCACTTGAGCCACACCCCCAGTTCTTTGGCTTTTAGTTGGCTTTTTCAGATAGGGTCCTGTGCTTTTGCCCAGGCTAGCCTTGGACCTTGATCCTCCTACTTCTGCCTCCTGAGTAGTTGGGATTCCAGTTGTACACCACCGTGCCCAGCCCCTTCATTAGTTCTTGAAAAACCCATTTGGTTCTGCCACGGAGCCTTCGTGCCTCGAACACTATTCTCCCAAAATCTTCCCAGGGCCAACTCCTGTTTGTGTCCAGGTCTGAACTCAGAGAAGCCCTCTCAAAGCATCTGGTCACATACTATTACACTCCTCTGTTTTAATTCAATCTAGGGCCCTTGGTCTACCTGACATTATGTTTATTCATTCATTTCTTCTTTTTCCTCCCACCCCTGGAAAATACCTTCATAACAGCAAGAATTGTGGCCAGCACCTAAAACCAGGCCTGTACACAGCAGACCTTCTACTGTGAAAAGAATAAATAAATAAGAATGAGTGACACAAAATTCTCAAGGACACAGGAAGAAAACCCTCCAAACCTCCCAAGAGCCCCTCATTCAGCTGGGGCCCTGTCTACTATCCCGTCCTCCCACTTCTGCCTGGTAACAAGTCCCTCGGAAGATCAAAGGGCTCCTCTGCCTCCCCAAGCCAGCACCCAGTCCTCAGCCTGCAGGCAGAACAAGAATCACTTCAAATGGATATGTCCTCAATCAGCCCAGGGCTCTAGGGCACCAGGCAGTCAGGGAAGAACATTCTCCCCCACTCCCTACATCCAGCTGAGGCCCTGCCCTAGGAAGGCCACGGTTGCCTAGGAAATGGCTCTCCTGGGAGTAGCTGGCATTAACTCTTTGGCAGCCAAGGACAGTAGCCTGCCTCTGTGGCCGAGGCCAGGACATTGCCCGGGGAGAAGATACAGTGCTACCCTTCTTCATGATCCCACAAACCTAGGATATTTAAGAGCAGTTGTGGGCTTAGAGACGGAAGGGAAAATAGGTAGAAAACCATTCTCCCAGGTAGAACTCATGACTAACCACTTCATCTGCCCAAGACCTGGGAACAAGGCATTCCCACGTCCATGCTTAGAGGGTCCCTAGTCCACAGCCTACAGAGGAGCTGGCACACTCTGAGCCAGGCCTCTGTCACACCACCATTGTGCTTAGACTGATCAATCAATATTCCTCAGTCTAGTTTACCACTTATGACGAGCTGGGTAAAAAAATGACCACACACCAAATCCTGGCTTTCTCACTTATTAATTAGGTATTTTAACCTCTTTCATACCCAGTTTCTTGAGTGCCACTGACATCGTTCCAAGTCTATCTTTACTTCTTTGATTTTTTCCATCTTTTATAATCCTTTCACCCTATCCCACTCCTAAGCTTATATCTTCTGCTATTTTTTCCCCAGGATTAATTATGATCATGAACTTGCTTATTTTAATTTCTCATCCAATGTCATCTCAAGAAAGAAGGCTCTTTTTCTTTCTGTCTTAACACATGGAAGGTACTTGAGGATGGGTCTAGCAAAACTAGGGTGAAAAAAAAAAGGTATCTCGGTAACAGTATTTCTAACCTAGGAAGACAGCAAAGGGAAGTCATGCTAATTACTGCGCAGCAACTAGTCTAGGCTGGAGCAGGAACAAAAGTCTAGAAAGATTTCTGCCAGAAGGAAAAGAAAAGCAGGCTCCATGTGTTAGAGAGTAAAATTGAGATGCTGAATAACCTTGAAGATTGGAAGGCACATTGTTATCTGGGCAATAAAAAAAAGAAAGGCAATTAGAAACTCCAGGATAAAAAAAAAAAGCTATAAAGTCTTAGATATGAACCAATTTAATATGTGGCACAACTTAGAACAAGAAAAGGAGAAAATGTATTTGATCTTGCTCCTTTAAGTGATCACAAGGATAAACTGACAGAATAGGAAGTGCAACCCTACCACACTACTTAACCCTGAGGAAAACACCACTTATCTAATAACAACTAACACTTATTGAGTGCCTAAGTGCCAGGCAATGTTTCAAGAGCTTTTCATTTAACATTCCCCAATCCTCAGAGCTCTCTGAGGTGTATGTTATCATTACTCCTACTTTGCAGATGAGGATGATGAAATAGTAGACAAGTTTTCTGATGTCATATGGCTGGTCTATGGCCAGAGATAGCCTTAGAAGGCAAACCAGTCAATCTTCACGCCCTGATCCTTCTTTCCAAGAAGCAAAAAATCTCATGTGTGTGCACAAACACACATGCCACATGCACATATAGACACACACACACTTCTGGGAGCCAGGATGCAAAACCATGGAGCCACAGAGCTAGTCCAGGCTGGGGAGCTGCAATGGCAGGGCCAGAGCAGGCCTTACCTTTCGGCAGTCTTTGCAGAACACCGACGAGCTGCCCAGGAAGCCCAGCACCTCCCCACAAAGCAGGCACTGCGAGAGGCCGTTCCCCAGCACGTTCCGCCTCATGGTCTCCAGTCGCTCCACCAGCCTCCTGCAGCACAGGACACAGAATCAAAAGGAAAAGAACTTCCTGTCCCCAATCCAACAACTGCTGGGGCACAGCAGCCATGTGTAGGCCCCAGATCACAAGGGCATGGAGGAGCCCGGTGAAACGCATTGAGAGTGTTGGCTCTCCACACCTGCCCACTGCTGCTGCTAACAGTGGGAGTCAAGTGGAGGCTGAGCCACAAATCTCCCTGCCTAGGCCCCAGCAGGATGCGCTCTCCACCCCTTCCGCTAGCCAACTCCTAGTCATTCATTCACTCACCACCTATTGGTTGAGCACCCACGAAGTGCCAGTCGCTGGGGAGGACTATAGAAAACACGCCAGGGACAGACATGGTCCCTGCTTTCATGGGACTCAATGTTCCATCATGGAGGAATCCACGAACAAATAAGCAAACTGGTTTCAACTGGGGAGAAGCGCTATGAAATGCCAACTGTAGAAGGGAGCAGGAGGGACAGGTGAGGAACCAGAGGCACATTACATGGTGGCCAGGGAAGACTCTCTGGAAACGTGTGAACTGAGAGCTGAAGACTAGTAATGACATAACCCACATGGCAGAGCAGTTTAGGAAGCTTCCAGTCTAGGGGAACAGCAAGTGCTGTGGCTCAGCTGAGAAATGACCACCAGCGAAGGAGCCAGCAAGGCTACTACTGCCCCCTGAGTCAGATGGAGATGGGAACATGGTGAGGCCGGAGGGGCAAGCACGGAGGGTCATGTGGTTTTACAGGTCGTGAAATGGATTCGAGGGTTTTCGAAGCTCAACTGGAAACCACTGAAGAGTTTGAAGAGGAGAGTGGTTTGACCCGAATGACACTTTTTCAAGCTTCTGTGGAAAGCTGGATGACAAAGGAGATAGTAGAAGAGAGGAAACCATAGGAGGCAGTAGCTGTCCTAGGAGAGAGGATAGACGGGGCATCTCAGAGGCGGCATGGATGGCTTGGCAATGGGGTAGAGGAGAGAGATACCAGGTCTGAGCACCTGGGCAGATGAGAAGCTGGAGCAGCAAAGAAAACCAGCTCCTCTTTGAAACCCTTAGATTTGCTGGACCCTGCTAAGCCTGGGCAGGCCTCCTCCTGGGGTCCCAAAGCCCCTCATCACACTGTCATCCCCTTTGCACAACAACCTCTAACAAAACACTACAATTTCTACAGAATTGTTCCAGTTTGTCAGTCACTATGTTTCCAGAACCCAGCAAACGGCATGTCATGTCCTCTAATGGTCACAGACCCACAATGAGGGGAATACTATTGTTCCCTTTTTGTGTGTGTGCGGTACTAGGGCTTGAACTTCAGATCTCGTGCCTGCTAGACAGGCACTCTATTGCTTGAGCCACTCCTCCAGCCCTTTATTATGTTGGGTATTTTTGAGATAGGGTCTTGCTATTTGCCCGGGCTGGCTTCGAACCATGATCCTCCTGATTTCTGCCTTCTGAGTAACTAGGATTACAGGTGTGAACCATCAGCACCTGGTTTATAGTTCCTATTTAAAAGATGAGAAGACTGAGGCTCAAAATTGTGAAGTCATTTGCTGGGGTCAGAAAGTTCTCAAGAAGTGGAGCCAGGCTCTACTCCTAGGCCTGTCTGATCAGGCCCACACTTTCCCCTCAAGTGATGTGGCATTGCCATGAGAGCTGAGGGACAACCGACTCAGTGATGAGGCTGCCTCTACCCACATCTCCTCTGGCGAGCACTTCTGGCTTCCAGGAGGGACATGGTTCTTCACCTGGGGACCTGCAGGCCTAGGGGCAAACTCAGCTCCAGCCTTGGCATGACCCATTTGTTCTTGGGGACACTCTGTCAGTCCACCCTGCATTTCCATGCTTTGTATAAATGCATAAGACGCACCTCGCCCACCTGAACAATAACTAACCTATAACACTGCTTCTGAGTCATTCCACACCTGTCATCCCAGCTCTCACAGTGGAACAAACAACAGGAAGGACTCTCTAAGACAGCTCAGGGAAGGCAAAGTCAGCATTCCACCAACTGAAGGGGAGCAGAAACACTTCCACAGCATAGGGGAGCCCATCATGAAGCTCCTGCCCCTGTTCACCCTCCAGGGGGAGCCAGAAGGCCCCAGGATCAGTCACCAGCATTTGAGGTCAGCTTAGAGCCTAGAGCCTTTCAGATCTGTGAGAAGCAGGGCCATAGCCAGGTTAAATGAAAAAAAGGAAAACCCAACCAGTCTGATGTAAGTGCTGTTTGCATTTAAATGGTAACACCACCATATTATTGAGACACCTACAGGGAACTTTTAGCACCGCAGTTATCTTTATAGTGGGACCCTCACCTTGTAGAACTGTGTGTTTCTACAGTGTCTGATTTTTTTAAAAATGATCATATAACTAATAGAAAAAGAGAAGTAGAAAAAGAACAAGGAGAATGAATTCCTGCCCACTGCCATGCAGTCTAATTGTGTTTTCTTACTTGGATTTTTCTGTATTTCTCAGATTTTTCTAGGAAATATTAATTGCTTTTGTAATTCAACAAAAAAAGACACAAGAAAAATGCTGGATGACAGAGTCATGGTCAGCTCTGGATGTCAGAGGCTGGGAGAGGAGCTTTGAACACGCTGGAGAGCGCCTCCTGCTGGGGAGATTTGTGGCTCAGCCTCCACTTGACTCCCGCTGTTAGCAGCAGCAATGGGCAGGTGTCAACAGCCTCAATGTGTTTTACCATGCATGGATCGTCCATGCCCCTGTGACCTGGGGCCCACACATCAGTTGCTATCCCTGGCTTCCACAGGAGTGTTCGAGACTTGGAGGGCTGGGTACCTGTCTACACTCCATGGCTGATGACATGGAGCTCCAGGACTCAGTATGCCAGCCTCCCTGCACTAGGCTCCCACTAAGCACCCTTAGTTTTCTGCTACTGCTGGCTGCTGCCTGGCCCAGCTGGCCCTACCCGATTCTCTGCTGCTCCATAATGTCCAGCTGTTCAGCCCTCTGGATGACCTGCAGGATGGCCTCCACTTCTGTTGTGCTGAGGCTCTGGCTCCTCCTCTGTTTCTCTGTCTGGTAGGTGTGCACAGACCAGCCTGTCTGCAGCCTGGGAGAGAAAACACCAATGGATGAGGCCGCCTATGCAAACCCAACCCCTCACCACATCCACAAAACCCCTGAGAGTGTCTGGGGACATTCTCCAGCGTCCAGAGTCCCTAACGAAAGTTCCTATAAGGCCTGGCACATGTCCATCACTGGGCTTTAGCATTACTTCAGGGCAGTGTGGGATCTGCTGTCTCCCCCTCCAGAAGGGAATGATCGACTGGAGGGTCAGGCCTTGCCCCTGCCTCATCTGGCCCTGGTCAACTCCCCCCTCTTCCTTTCATGCTACTCATCCCTTCCTCTCCGTATTCAAGCCACACCAGCCTCCTTTGAGGGTCTCTACATGCCATGTTCTTTCTACCCCAGGATCCTGCTACCCAGAACTTCTGCCATATTTCCATTTAACATTTTCTCCCCCTTCAGGTCTCAACATAAGCATCACACTTTCAAGGAAGTCTCTCTTGATCCCCAAACTAAGTTAGTCTTCCCCTGCCCCCCCCCACACCCCAATTATTGTCAAAGCAGCTGCTTGTGGCAAGGATTTGTGTAATTCCCCCTCCCCATCTCTGCTTTAAGACAAAGGACCATGCTGGTCTTGTTTGCTGCTACACAAACAGTGCCAGGCACATAGTAGAGGTTTAGAAAATGTTTGCAGCTGGGGTTGGTGGTGCACATCTGTGGTCTCAGGACTCAGGAGGGTGAGGCAGGAAGATCATGAGTTTGAGGCCAGCCTGGGCTACAGAGTGAGACCCTGTCTCAAAAGAAAAGAAACTCTTTGGTAGCAGCTAGAAGACACAGGTAAGCAGTGGCAGGAAGGCCTGCGGTGGAGCAGGGAAAGGAATCCACAGGACCTAAAGGATCCCACGGGGCACAGTGCCCCGCTCTGTAGCCCGGGCCTCCACACTACTCTCTTTTCTTTACAGAGACTGCCAAGTCTCTGGGCAGCACACCCGGGGAGGACACAAAGGCATGTGCTCTTCTGAAAGGGGCTGTGCCAGCTCTGAGTGACAGCCAAGGGCAAGGAGAAGGAAAGGTAGCTGGAGGGTTCGGATGAGGCCCACTGGGCCCTTGTACAGAGCACAAGCAGCTGAGCTCTCCCAACGCCACATGCCCTGCTGGGGAGGGCACATCATCTGCCTGGTGTCAGGAGAGGGAGAGAGACTGACCTAGCCCTGGGTCACTTTCCCTAGCAGGGACAGGGTGGGGGAAGCTGGAGGGGGCTGAGCCACCCAGGGGGAAGGGGACAAATTAACTGTGGGGCAAAGATACTGCAAATCATGCATGACGCCCTTCTTCCTGGGCGTTTCAGATGAATTTTTCTACCGCCTTTGATGTTCAGCTCTGTCCCCCGCAGGCTCATAATATCTAATTGCAAATTTCTTAAACTGGGTCCCCGTTGGGAAATGCTGGCTCCCGTAATTGGCATGGTTTGACACAGGAGTATATCAGACTCCAGGGACCCCACCCCTTGGAATGCTTGTGGGAAGTTGCTGGAAGGTAGCAGAGACATCTGAGAGTCGCCCTCTCCACTCCAGGCACAGGTGGACAGTTCAGGGAAGCACCGGACCTAACTGAAATTGAGGGGGTCACTAGGCTGAGGGGACCTCCAGGGGTAGTAGGGAGACCCTGCCAACAGCACAGCAGGGAAAACAGCTGAGGGCAGCTTTTCATTTATGTCACAAGCCTTTGCTTGGTGCTGTCTGCTGGCGCTAGGCTCTGAGCCCTGAAGGTAGCACCCAGAGATCAAGGGCCCCCTGCCTAAAGGGGCTTTCAAACTTTAGGCTCAAGAACAGAAGAGAGGGCAAAGAGGATTGTCTGGCCCCTGGAGGCCTGCTGGGATAGAGTGCAGGCAGGGAGTCAGCTAGGCTCAGAAGTGGGTCCCAACCAGGACACTCACAGTTCAGTGACATGGACAAGGAGCTCAGCCTCACTTTCCTCACCTGAGAAATGGGGAGAAATTCCACACAGTGGGTAAATGAGCTCAGTGCCCCACTCGGCCCAGAACGCAGTATGCATCAGACAGCAGCTGTGTTTAATGAATAAGTTAAACACGACTCATTTACAAATGAGTTGTGCCAAAGAAAGGAGGGCAGCAGGTAGGGACAGGAGGGAGGGGGCATTCTGGAAGGGCCTCAGAGGCACTCACTTGGCTCGCAGGGCCAGCTGCCGGTCATTGGGGCAAACCCACTGGTCGTTCCCACTGCCGAAGATGGTGTCGGCCATGGTTCAGGGCACCAGCCCGGGGCGCCAGTCACATCTGAGATGACAAGAGAGAAAGGAAAGAGAATGTGTCACTGGCTGTGGTGCTGACAGCAGACATGGTCCCACTGCAGTGGGCTCTAGACACTTGGTGCTTCTAACCCTTCCACCTCATCTCTGTACACAGTCCTGAGACTCTCTTCCTCCAACAAACATGGCTCCCTCCCAGCCCCTTTCCAAAGGCCCAGAATCTGGGGGCAATAACTAGGTGTACGATGTGGCCCAGTGACTCCTGTGGAGATGACTGGCGGGGCATCGAAGGGCAGAATCAGAAGGGAGAGAAAAGGTTCACCCTAGGTAACTTCAACCCAGCCACCAGGCCCTGGAAGGCATTCAACCCTTGTCCCTTCCCAGCAGTCTGCTGCCCCAGGTGTCTTCCCAGCTAAGGGCTGGGGTGGGAGTAGATGGCTACACAGGTGGGGCAAGCTCTATCCTGCTCCCAGCCTGGGGACTAGAACAGCAGTCAAAGGCACCCATGCTCGGCTCCCCAAGCGCTTCACACTGAAGGCCACAGTGCTCTCCAGAGCAGGGATGAGGGCAGCAGCCAGGACCTGTACTGGGCACAGCTCCCAGGGCCATGGTCCATAGCTGCTGCCCCTAGGAATCCCACAGGGAGGAACCCTGCTCCAGGACAACCTGCTGAGTTAGGACAAGTACAGTGTAGTTTAGCTGGCTTCTCCCAGTCTGCTCTTAGGTTATTTATGAAGATACTGCTCACAAATTCTGAAGGAAGGGTGTGTGTGAGAGAGAGAGAGAGAGAGAGAGAGAGAGAGAGAGAGAGAGAGAGGAAGGAAAGGAAAAGAAAGAGATGAGCTTGGGCTATAAGTAAGCATGAGGGGCTACTGTGAGTCACCCACATGCTCCTGGTCTAACCTCATCCAGACCAGCCAGTGGTTTGTAAACTCAGGACCCCTTTATACTCTTAAAAAATATTGAAGTTGGATTTGGGTGATACAGAACCTGCTTAGCAAGTGCAAAGCCCTGAATTAAAGCTCAATACTGAGAGAGAGAGAGAGAGAGAGAGAGAGAGAGAGAGAGATATTAAAGCCAGGAGTGCTAGTGCATGCCTACAATTCAAGCTACCACAGGAGGCAGATGTGGGAAGACCATGGTTTGAGGCTGACCTGACTAAGTAAAAGCATGAGAGCCTATCTGAAAACAAACTAAAAGCAAAAAGGACTGGGAGTGTGGCTCACATAGTATCAAGTGGTAAAGAGCTTATCTAGCAACTTTGAGACCTGAGTTCAGTGCCACAAAGAGAGAGAGAGAGAGAGAGAGAAGAAACAACCAAGAGAGAAATTGGAGATTTTCTCAAAATGTTAAGCACAGAGTTACTACATGACCCAGAAACTCCACTCACAGGTTTATAACCAAGCGTAGTAAAATTTTATGTCTACACAAAAACACACACAAGTGTTCACAGCTGCAGTATTCATAATAGCCAAAAAGTAGAAACAACGAAAATATCCATCAGCTGAGAAGGGTTAGAGTGTGCTCTGTCCATAAAATGGAATATTATTTGGCCATAAAAAGAAATGGCTGTAAGATGGCTAAGTGAAAAAAGTCAGACACAGAACACCACAAGTTGTTTGATCCTGTTTATACGAAGTGTCAAGAATAGGCAAATTTTTGAGACATTAAGTAGATTAGGGGATTCACGGATTCACAAAAGATGTTCCTCTGACTTTTCACTTAGTCTTCTGCAATGTGTCACTTTGCTCATGCACATGGAGGGTGTCCAGACTCTTGCAGGTACAAAGACAGCTGGAAAAGGGAGGCAGTTGTGGGTGTTTGTCTTTGATACTGCACCAAAACTCAACAGTTGCTTAGAGATTAGCTCCAATGTGGCTTCTGGATCCACAGCCATGAACTTGTCACTTCTGTACATTTGTGAGAGAACAAGGCCAGGAGTCTGAGTGGATGAGAAAAATTATTTTGGCCTCACAGACCCCTGAAAGGTGTTGAGGCCTCCAGAGGTGCCTGGACCACGGTCAGAGAACTGCTCTTCCACAGCAAGGTCCCCACATCTGTGATGACCAGCAGAGGGGCAGCGTGCAGACCCAGACAGCGACTAAGCCCATGATCTCAGTCCCCCGGTCTCTCTCCCACAGGCACCTGCTCTTCCCAACTGGACCTAGTAAGTCCACTGTGGACCACTTGGGGAAAGAGACCCCAAGACTCCAAAGAGCCAGGTATGGAGACCCAACGGGCAGGTCTGACACTGACCACAATCAATCACCAAGGGCCTCCCCAGATGTCACTTCTGTGCCTTCTCCTCATGAAGCTAACACACCATCCAGGAAAATAGGCTTGCAAATGACACATTCATATAGCAACTTTAAACCTGGGCTCCAGCTCCAGCCTTCTGTGGGCTATGCTGTTTTAGTGTTTTGTTTTGGTTTTAATTTCTGTTATCTTGTGAGTAGCACAGCCATACTGCTGTGGGAGTGTGAAATGCATTACACTGTTCGAAGTAAACATTTAAAACATGTAACAACTGAATAGCCCTGTTTCTTTTTTCTTTCTCTCTCTCTTTTTGTTTTTTCTTGGTGGTACTGGAGTTTGAACTGAGGGCCTCACAAATAAGACAGCCACTCTACCACTTGGGCCACAATTCCAGCCCTCTTCATTATTTCATTTTTAACATTCTGGGAATTTCAAGAAATGGAAGAGATGGGGAAGATGGCCCAAAAGACCAAAAATCATATGTTCTCCCTCATATGTGGACATTAGATCAAGAGCAAACACAACAAGGGGATTGGACTACGAGCACACGATAAAAGCGAGAGCACACAAGGGAGGGGTGAGGATAGGTAAGACACCTAAAAAACTAGCTAGCATTTGTTGCCCTTAACGCAGAGAAACTAAAGCAGATACCTTAAAGCAACTGAGGCCAATAGGAAAAGGGGAACAGGTACTAGAGAAAAGGTAAGATCAAAAAGAATTAACCTAGAAGGTAACACCCACACACAGGAAATCAATGTGAGTCAATGCCCTGTATAGCTATCCTTATCTCAACCAGCAAAAACCCTTGTTCCTTCCTATTATTGCTTATACTCTCTCTACAACAAAATTAGAAATAAGGGCAAAATAGTTTCTGCTGGGTATTTGGGGGGGGGAGAGGGAGGGGGCGGAGTGGGTGGTAAGGGAGGGGGTGGGGGCAGGGGGGAGAAATGAACCAAGCCTTGTATGCACATATGAATAATAAAAGAAAAATAAAAAAAAAAAAAGAAATGGAAGAGATGGGGAAGATGGGGATGACTAGTACAGGCTGTGCCAGGTAAATCAGGAGTCTAGGGAGTGGGCTTGTCACCCAGGTGGCTCAGTTCTAGCTTCAACCTGCAGGGGGCGCCACGCCCCAGGCCTCAGCATCCAGGATGGCAAGCCCTGAGTCTGATGCCATTCTCCCTGCAGCTGGACTCAGTGAGGGCAGAGGTGACTCTAGCTGTGCCGGGCACCCCACAGAGACAGGAGAGTAACAGGGATGACCCTGAAAAGCAAGGGCAAGCCAGGGAACCTCAGGGCTCCACCATGGGAAGCCTCCATCTTCTGCAGGAGAGGGGAGAGGAAACAGGAAGAAAAAGGGGCAGGGGCCCTGATGCTGTCATCTTCACCTCCATGACAGTGGGAGGTGCTTCCAAACCAATCACCTCCAAATGCATCCCAAGAGAATAAATGCCTTGTCCCCTTTGGTTCACCTCCTAGTGGAGCCAGAGTTTTGGTATCATTAATGAGGGAACCCTCAAACTGACCTCTGTCTGTCCTCTGATTCAGTCAGGGTCTACTCCTTTTTAATTTTTTTTAAAAAACAAGCCATCAACTTATAGCCACCCACAGACTTTTGTGTTCTGTTCTTCCTAAATGTCATCATTGTTCTTTCTGTCCTAAAATGAACAGAGAGGTTAAGAGACCAAGCAAAGACCACATAGCTAACTAGGCTCTCTTCCTGGAGCCTCTGTTTCCTCCCTGGTACCTGAGAATGCTGAGGCAGATGGGCCAAAACAACTGCTCTGTGTGAGTCCAACCCCACTGAAGGGCCTGGGGGAGGCAACAATGGCAGGGATGGCCTGGCTCCTGACACTCCCTTTAACTGGTGGCTCCTCTGCCAAACCATGTGCTCACCACCACCCACCACATCGTCTAGGGTCTGCTCCCCTTGTGGGAGCTCCAGGTACAAGCCCATACCTCACTAAGAGTTGGAACCAAGGCTAGAGGTATGGCTCAAGGGGTATAGCACCTGCCTAACAAGTGTGAGGACCTGAGTTCAAGTTCCAGTACCATCAAAAAAATTTTAAAAAAGAGTTGAAGCTTTAAAACTCTCAAAAAGTAGCAGTATATGCATTCTTGAGTTAATAGCAACAAGTAACTGGGCAAAAGCTAACTCGGGAGGGAACAAAACAGGAGGGCTCCTCTCCTCACTGGACTATGGCATCACTGGGGCATCGGGGAGCTGTGTCTCCCTATTTTCTCCATGCCAGGTGGCCGGCACAGGGCCTGTTGTGGGTATCTGCTAGCTTGAACTATGTTTCATCAGCAAGCCGGCCCTTCCCAGACAAGGAGGAATTCAGAAAACAAACCAGAGGCATGCAAAGCAGGCAGAGTGGGCTCTAACCACACTCCACAACTTGTTGACTCATAGGCTCCTCAGGATCCCCACAGAGTAGTCAGTCACACAGTGGTGGTGGCTCCGGTCTGACAGCTGATTCCCTGCAGAGGGGCCGGTGCACCCATAGGCCCTCTGCAGGGAAGCCATGGCCTCCTGGTGTGATCTCAACCCCTGCTGGGTGACATGGCAGAGCAGAGGCTGCACCAGGCCAGCTGCCCCAGCGGACAGATGCTCGGGAGTCCTGCAGTGCAGAGGCTAGCGGGCTCTACCAGGGGCCAGGGATCAGCCGTGGCTGGGGGACAGAGGTTCAACAGGCTCCTGGCAACTTTCTGAGCCAGATCTGTTAAAACAAACACATCGTTTAAGAGGGAGATACAATTCTCCCCCAAAGTC